GGAGTGTTATGCTGGTCAGCGTGCGGGCGAGGGGTGGGGTGGGGGAGGCAATATAAGTGGGAGGAAGCCGGGGTGTCGAGTGAGGGGCAGGGCCGGGTGCAGAACCAGAGGGCGGCTCGGGGATAGAGAGAGCGAGCGAGCGAGGGAGCGAGGAAGAAAGAAAGAGAGAGAGAGGGGGGGGCAGGATGTCACAGCGTCCACGCGGCGCCCAGGCTATCGGTCAACCATAAATATAAGAGCGCGGGGCCCAAGGGGAGGGGGAGGAGGGGGCGAGGCCTATTCAGTGGACACGCGTGTCAAAGGCCTAAGCCGGCGCCGGCCGCCGCATGCGATCAGGCCGCCTCATCTCCCCCACCCCCCTCACCTTAACCCACCCCCAACCCCCTGACGATCCAAAAGCACCCGGGCTTCGACTATTCCCTGGCAAATCCCCCTCCCCTCACCTCTTTGCCACTGCTGCAACCCCACCCCCCTCCCTCCCTATTCTGGAATGTCACACATCGTAAATCTGTCTTGTCCCGGGCGGCAGCCCGGGGGGAGGGGGTTGGATGGGGCTCAGGCGCCCCCTGCATGAGAAGCAGCCGCACGCAGTTTAGGAAGAGTGCACCGCCCCCTACTCCCTCCCTTCCCTCCTTCCCCTCTTATCGTGACACGTCGAACACGTGTCTCTGCAGCCTGCACCTCCGGCCAGACAGAGGAGATTGGGGAGGATTTACACGACAACGGCACTATTGCCGCTCGACGCATACTGAAAGCGTCGTTCGTCCTCCGCGCAGTTGAACCCGCCCGTTATTACACCCTTCTTTGCTGAACTCATAACAGTAACATCGGTTCACTTCCGGTGCTTCCGGCCGGTCCCGCCTACAGCCTCCCTCCTCTTCCGGTCGATCTCCACCCCTTCTAATCATTGGCCACCTGAGCCGCTCTGGTCCAGCCCCTCCCTTCTCCTCCAGCCCCACCCCAGCGCTGTCTGCGTCCTCCTCCCCCGCTCTTTCCCAGCAGGCCCATTAAGAGAAAGCTGCGTCCCGAGGATGAAATTTTTATGAGTCCACCAAGACAGGGCGGTGGACGGGCCGTGCGCACGCAGCGGTGAATAGACACCCCCCCCCCCTCCCCCCTTGCGACCCCACCCAGCCGGTGTGCACACGCTACTTCCAAGTTTTGAGTTCGGCGGAGGAGAAGCAGGTAGACGCCGGAGAGCAGGTTACACGCAGGTACATAGTTTCTTGTACTCAGCTAACGACCACCATAACGGCGTCGAAAATCCCACAATATCTCGTAGCCTGCACTGGTCTAGATGTTCCGCAGGGCGGCATAAGAACCTGATACTCCCAATACAAAGTTCGGCGGCGTGGTTGCGGGCGGGGACGCGGTAGTGCACGAGAGGGGGTATGTTGTTGGGGTAGGAAATTGAAGGGGTGGATGGCTGGGGAGGGGGGTGGGGGGAGAAGAGGGGCTGAAACAGAGGGTTATGGGGATTACATGCTCGCCCCCAGGAACAAGAAGCACTGTCTCGGGATTTGCGGGCGTCTGTTGACCTGTCACTTTAATCCGGTTCGCGTAACTCGGCTGGCATGGGGGTTGGGAGGCCCGGGG